GTAGATCCTTATCGGCCACCCCTCGCTCCCCCTCCCCCCTCTCCCCCCGACTGCCCCGACGTGGAACCGAACGAAAGGGAAATTACTCGTTGGGATAACGATTAATCGCTTAGGGGAGCGCGTAGTTATTAGATCGGATCACCGATTCGAACGGCGAACGAGGTATTCGGAACCCGGCCAATTCGGGGTAGTTTAGCGGACGGGTGGCGTGCAGGATGAGAAAGAAGGCTTAAGTGGAGCACGAAACGTTCGTATGTAGATGCGACGGTGTATCTGCAGGGTTGCATGCCAGCCTATGACAGGCTAAAACCGAGTGTGTATCACCTGTATCAGGGTTATGGATGGCCCGCTAGCACGCCAACCCAGTGACATCTCTAGGTCACCGCCGACCCCCGAACCACCCCTTTGTCTTCCTCCGCGTTTGCTTTCGCGCTTCTCATCCGCCACTCTCTCCTTTTCTCCCTTTTCTCTCCCCGCCGGCGTGCACCATGCCAACGATCGATGTTAATCGGTCAACTCTACTCGCGAGGAGTCGGACCGAGGCACATCAGGAGATAAGATAACGAGCCAATTACGCGATCCGAATTTTTCTCTCGATTCGCGGTAAATATACTCGGTAACTGGAAGATAAATTTAGAAGCCGAGAATACTCGCGGCGAGTATTGCAGCGAGTATTGCAGCGGGTATTCCGCGAGAAAATTTCCGCTCTAGGCCCCCCTGGAATCGCGATGGGCGGTGGAACAGCGCGGAGAGACGATGGAGAGACACAGAGGTAATGAAAGGTGGTTCGTCCTCGCGAGTTTCGCTCTCTCTTTTCCCCCCGAGCTGCGAGAAAAACGGTTCGATTTACCCGCATCCGGACACCGTTCCGGCCGCCAGCCGTGTCTCTGCTAATTACGCGGTTCGGTCGAGTGGAATCGACGAGGGAAAGCGACGAGGAGAGGATGCTCGGAGGTCGGGAAGCTCGCGGGAAATTTCCTCCGGGGAAATTATTCGTACCGATAGGCGAACGTCGAACGGAGCTGTTTCGTTTAAACGTTTTTCGACGACGAACCGGCCGACGAACAATAAACGCGGCAGGAACAATGATTCCCATTACGAGTTGCAGTTTTATTTAAAAGCCGGCATTGTCGTCGCGGACAATCGGTGGACCGCGAACTCGTGGCGTTTTCAGTGCTCACTTTTGTGGCCGACGACACGGAATGGCGGCCCTCTCCGCATTTAAAGACTCCTTACGAGCATTGTTCCCGCGATGAAAAGCTTCCTCTCTATGCTATCGAGAAAATAGCGGCATCGAGATGGCGCGGAGACGCCGCCGGAATTTTCCTTCCACGCTGGCGGAAAAAATGTCAAACGCGTGTTTCGCGTGGCGATCAAAGAGGACAGATAAAACCGGGATCGATCTATCGTTCGAACGTTGCTCGATAAACTCGGCGAAATTATCGAAAGCCACTCGCGTTGGCCTTCGAGCGAACAATAACGCGAAACTTTTCATACTTTTATCGCGACCATTGGAATAAAAGCAACGGACGCGATAGCTTTCCATCGATAGAGCGACCAGGTAAGTCACGATCGTCTCGTGTCGGGACCTCGGTTGCAGCGTCTCTTTCTCCCTTCCTCGGACAGCGTAGATCTCCGTTGATAAATCGGTATAAATGCAGCTCCCGACGAAAGTGGTACTTTCGACCAAGAGCTTTTTCCTCGCCACGGTCTTTCGTCGGCGCACCGGCAAAGCCCGTGTTTGCCCGTTAAAAACGCTTTAAATCGCTCTCTGCACGCGCGTCGGGGATGGAAAATAGCGGAGAAAGTCGGAAATCAGTCCACGGCGTGGACTGGTCGGTAGAGGGAAACTTGGCGAGGCAAATTGGACGCGCAAAGTCGATAAATCCGTGGTCGGGGTAGCTTCTCCGGTCGAAGCGCCCTTCGATCGGGAAGAAATGAAAGCTGGCCGGAGAAGAAACGATTAATATTAACGCGAGCTCTCGAGACGGCTGAAAGGAGCGCGACGGCGAGGACGCGCAGACGGGATAAGATGGCGAGCGGTTGGACGATAATCGCGGAAAGACGCGAGAATATCTCGGCGATGCGATCCAAATTCGTTATCCGCGTTCCCGCGAGGCGATGTTCCGCGCGCGCTCTGCAGCCTCGAAATGAATTTCGAAAGTGGGACGTACGCTTATTAGAAATTCCTGGATTGTTCCGCGTACGTGTATACCCGGTCTATTTGCCCGCTCTAAGTCGACCGGCCGGGAATTTACGGCCAACCCCTGGCCAATGGACCGGAGCCGAGATGCCGCAGGGAGAATCATAACGAGAACCATTTCCGACCCATCCGAATACTGGATATACGCGGCTTTATTAAAAGCTGCCGGAATTCCGCCCTCCCTCCCTCCCTCCCTCCAGCGTCTCGTTTATTTACTTAGGGGAGCGCGTAGTTATTAGATCGGATCACCGATTCGAACGGCGAACGAGGTATTCGGAACCCGGCCAATTCGGGGTAGTTTAGCGGACGGGTGGCGTGCAGGATGAGAAAGAAGGCTTAAGTGGAGCACGAAACGTTCGTATGTAGATGCGACGGTGTATCTGCAGGGTTGCATGCCAGCCTATGACAGGCTAAAACCGAGTGTGTATCACCTGTATCAGGGTTATGGATGGCCCGCTAGCACGCCAACCCAGTGACATCTCTAGGTCACCGCCGACCCCCGAACCACCCCTTTGTCTTCCTCCGCGTTTGCTTTCGCGCTTCTCATCCGCCACTCTCTCCTTTTCTCCCTTTTCTCTCCCCGCCGGCGTGCACCATGCCAACGATCGATGTTAATCGGTCAACTCTACTCGCGAGGAGTCGGACCGAGGCACATCAGGAGATAAGATAACGAGCCAATTACGCGATCCGAATTTTTCTCTCGATTCGCGGTAAATATACTCGGTAACTGGAAGATAAATTTAGAAGCCGAGAATACTCGCGGCGAGTATTGCAGCGAGTATTGCAGCGGGTATTCCGCGAGAAAATTTCCGCTCTAGGCCCCCCTGGAATCGCGATGGGCGGTGGAACAGCGCGGAGAGACGATGGAGAGACACAGAGGTAATGAAAGGTGGTTCGTCCTCGCGAGTTTCGCTCTCTCTTTTCCCCCCGAGCTGCGAGAAAAACGGTTCGATTTACCCGCATCCGGACACCGTTCCGGCCGCCAGCCGTGTCTCTGCTAATTACGCGGTTCGGTCGAGTGGAATCGACGAGGGAAAGCGACGAGGAGAGGATGCTCGGAGGTCGGGAAGCTCGCGGGAAATTTCCTCCGGGGAAATTATTCGTACCGATAGGCGAACGTCGAACGGAGCTGTTTCGTTTAAACGTTTTTCGACGACGAACCGGCCGACGAACAATAAACGCGGCAGGAACAATGATTCCCATTACGAGTTGCAGTTTTATTTAAAAGCCGGCATTGTCGTCGCGGACAATCGGTGGACCGCGAACTCGTGGCGTTTTCAGTGCTCACTTTTGTGGCCGACGACACGGAATGGCGGCCCTCTCCGCATTTAAAGACTCCTTACGAGCATTGTTCCCGCGATGAAAAGCTTCCTCTCTATGCTATCGAGAAAATAGCGGCATCGAGATGGCGCGGAGACGCCGCCGGAATTTTCCTTCCACGCTGGCGGAAAAAATGTCAAACGCGTGTTTCGCGTGGCGATCAAAGAGGACAGATAAAACCGGGATCGATCTATCGTTCGAACGTTGCTCGATAAACTCGGCGAAATTATCGAAAGCCACTCGCGTTGGCCTTCGAGCGAACAATAACGCGAAACTTTTCATACTTTTATCGCGACCATTGGAATAAAAGCAACGGACGCGATAGCTTTCCATCGATAGAGCGACCAGGTAAGTCACGATCGTCTCGTGTCGGGACCTCGGTTGCAGCGTCTCTTTCTCCCTTCCTCGGACAGCGTAGATCTCCGTTGATAAATCGGTATAAATGCAGCTCCCGACGAAAGTGGTACTTTCGACCAAGAGCTTTTTCCTCGCCACGGTCTTTCGTCGGCGCACCGGCAAAGCCCGTGTTTGCCCGTTAAAAACGCTTTAAATCGCTCTCTGCACGCGCGTCGGGGATGGAAAATAGCGGAGAAAGTCGGAAATCAGTCCACGGCGTGGACTGGTCGGTAGAGGGAAACTTGGCGAGGCAAATTGGACGCGCAAAGTCGATAAATCCGTGGTCGGGGTAGCTTCTCCGGTCGAAGCGCCCTTCGATCGGGAAGAAATGAAAGCTGGCCGGAGAAGAAACGATTAATATTAACGCGAGCTCTCGAGACGGCTGAAAGGAGCGCGACGGCGAGGACGCGCAGACGGGATAAGATGGCGAGCGGTTGGACGATAATCGCGGAAAGACGCGAGAATATCTCGGCGATGCGATCCAAATTCGTTATCCGCGTTCCCGCGAGGCGATGTTCCGCGCGCGCTCTGCAGCCTCGAAATGAATTTCGAAAGTGGGACGTACGCTTATTAGAAATTCCTGGATTGTTCCGCGTACGTGTATACCCGGTCTATTTGCCCGCTCTAAGTCGACCGGCCGGGAATTTACGGCCAACCCCTGGCCAATGGACCGGAGCCGAGATGCCGCAGGGAGAATCATAACGAGAACCATTTCCGACCCATCCGAATACTGGATATACGCGGCTTTATTAAAAGCTGCCGGAATTCCGCCCTCCCTCCCTCCCTCCCTCCAGCGTCTCGTTTATTTACGCCCCTCTCGCATCCCTCGTTTCTCCGCCGTCCAATCTCGATCCAGCCGGTGCAAATTTTCCGGAAAAGTCTTCCCACGCGATCGAGAAAGGCCACGCGGGTATACATAGACCGCGGTTTCGCGAAAAATTCCCGACTCCGAGGCTGGATCACGGCTGGATAAGCGGAAGCACGCGTTTCGAATGGAGTCGGAAAGATTCCAAGACCACGTGCCGGAAGCCCGTCCGATCCTCCTTCGACCAATCGAATTTTCCACTCCGCACTGTTGCAGCCAAGCGATGATCCGTGAACTTGGAATGTAGACGGAAGGGCGGAAAAGCGGATCTGCCCCTCGCAGGATCGAAGGAAGGGCTTTTCCTCCACCTCCGCCATCGTCTTCGCCGCTGCCTCACCCTCGAGTATCTCCAACCTCCGCATCGATTCCAACACCGTAAGTATCGTTGCGTCTTCACCGGGGCTCCGCGGCATCCGCGCCATCCGCGGACCCCTCTGACTCGCTGTTTCGTGGCTGCGTGCTCGAAAGGGAAGAGGAGAAAATGGGTACCTGTTCGAGAACAGGATGCCCGAGGTACAATGTACAGAGAGATCGATGAGAGGGATAATGAGAATGACCTAATTGAACCAAGTCGCGATTCTCGTTGGTTCTCCTCGTTTCTCCCTTTTCAAAGCGATTACTCTTCCCACTCGGGTCCCGTTTTGTTCTCGGATTCCGGCAGAGCCGAGACTTTCCTACGGCCTCGAAAAATCGTTCGCCAGGCCGAAGGAACGGATTAGCATTGGACGGGAAGAAGGAGGGTCACCGTGGAAGTAAGTAACTAATTGGCCCAGGAGGCAAAAGCAGCCAAGCGAACAGCTGGAAATCCCGTTTAATCGGCGATTCGTCGGGTCGCCAAGAGCCTTAGACTCTCAGAGTCTTAGACTCTACTCGCGACTATGGGAACGCGCGTGCGCGGAAGAGAAACACGGGATATTTATTCGGAAACGAAGGCAAAGTGGAAGCACCGCAAGTTCCTTCCCTCCCTCTAGCCCTGTCCACGCGGCACGCGCGTAATTAATTATCGAACGATCCACTTTGCGGAAAACGAGGGTGCGCCCCCATGATTTATTCACGCGACCGCCAACATTTTCTGATCCTCGCATTAATTCCAGTAATCTCTCCTTCCCTCTCCCTCTATTTACGTGCCTCCTATTCCGCTGCCGTCAAAGAGAACCGATAGCGTCGATATTACCCCGGCCGATTATAAACCTTGGCTGCAGGGACGAGCCGGTATACCCTGGAATGGCGAGTAATTTGGACGAATAAGCCGAGCGGATAACGCGACTGGCCGGCCTGATAACGCCGGTGGCCTGGCAATAAAACGAAACGAAATCTCCCTGCCGGAGCCCGAATTCCCCGCCGGGAAGCGCCGGGAAGCACCGGGAAGCACCGGTATATTTTGTCGGTTTAATCGAGCCGTTCGATTTCCAGGCGTCCTGACAAATTTCGCCGCTCCATTTCCCGACACACTCGCGCGGCAATTGCTCGTTACGCGAACGCACGCGCACCGATCTTATTACCATTCTCGCGCGTCTGCCTTTTTCGCCATTCCGTTTAACCAGGCGGCAAGGAAATTAATCCAGTCCGCCCACCCCGCGGCCACGAGACCCGTTTACGAATTACCAAATGGATCGGCTAGATCCACGTGGTTACCTTGATCAGCTCGATGTCCGGGCCCCTGCGCGAATTTTCCAGCGTACCGCCTATCCAGAGATCGGTTTGCGGGAAATCTGCTACGAGCAGAGGCGCGGGAATCGAATGAGAAAATCGTTACCGTTCGGGTATGCCGATTAATCGCTGAATATCTCGCTCCCGCGACGGGTTTGCACGATGCTGCCACCGCGACGAGGGGGACAACTAACTTTTTACACTGGCTCCGTTCATAGACACGGACTCTGTGTCTGCCTATGCTCGCGATAGAAAGGCAACGCGCGTCCCTAGCTCCGACTTCCTCTTTTCTTCTCCCGGATCGCAGCGTGCAAAGTGCCACGGTATCGCGACCATCCACCGGCAATCGAGCGATTCTTCGAGGGCCAGCTGCATATCCGAGTTTCGCGTCGTTCCCTTGGCCCGACCACGGCTTCCGGTAAGTACGGCATGCTCGGAAACGCGAATAAATTTCGCGGCAAGTGGGAAAACCGGTGGTGGAAGCGTGGCCATCGAGGTCCGAGATCGACGGAGAGAAATTCGTGCGGCATTTTCCAATCGCTTTTCACCGATTTTCCCGGTGTCGGACCGAGGGCAAAAGGGACCAGGTGATACGCGATCACGTCGGGCGGTGATAAATTATCGTTTCTGATGACGGCTGATTCGCTAGTTTCTCTCACGAACGCTTCCGCGTGTAACACTTCGATACTGCGTGTAATCGCGCGTGACCAGCGTTCCACACAGTCGGAACACGTAGAAGGAAATGACCAATCAACGCGGACCTTCGTATAGAACCGCCGCGATATATTTCCTTTCGACGAGTAGGAAATTCGAAGCACCGTGCTGGAGATACGAGCGGGGCCGGCTAGATCCTTCCACTTTGTCTCGCTATTTTCGAGCAACAGCCCAGACGAAAATAGCCGCGATCGATTTCCAAGCTGGAATTCTCTTCAAGCCGCGAGTAATAACAGAACGGGTTTCGACCTCCGTCAACGCCGCTCGACCCTTTGAATTCCGCGAGAATTCCGCGTACCGAGTTGGGAGAAAGCTGTCGAAAACGCGACGTAAAAGTAACGTAACGATCCATTCCAGTTTCCATCGGTACGTGGTAGCGCTTGATCATCCTGCGCTGACGGAACGCTGAATAGAACGATACGCTGTTTTAGGCGAGGACACGATGCCAAGAAACCGAAGTTCCTTGACCAAGTTCGAGGCCCTGATGGTGCTAAGTTTAACGGTGCTGGTGCAACTGGACGTCTGCTGGTGCATGTCATCTCACAGAAGTAGACACCACGCGGACATGTCGTACGAGGACGCAAAGAGCTTCAGAGCCAGCGAGGAGTTGCCTAGACCAGCCGCCCTGAATTCGAACGATGATCCGCTGATAGTTCAGACCAGGAAGGGCAAGGTCAAGGGTAAGACCATGACTGCCACCACGGGAAAGGAGGTCGACGCCTGGTTCGGGATCCCTTACGCGCAGAAACCTCTCGGTAGGTTCCACCTGTACGGTCTATCGGCTTCGAAAACTCGGTAATTAACCTTTCACCGGCGCCAGCCAGACAGTCAGGCGCCTATTCCCGGCAAGCTATTCTCGGAATTTTTCTCTCTCTCTCTCTCTCTCTCTCTCTCTCTCTCTCTCCTCTTCCGCGTCTTCCCTTTTTAATCCGTCGCTTCTGAAACGGACGATGGAACCAGCCGCGTATCAATGGACCCGTGCATCAAGAGGAACAGAGGAGAGAGAGAGAGAGAGAGAGAGGGGGGGAGGAAGGGGATGATCTCGAAAGATGCGTGTGATTGTGGATCGGTTCGGGTAGAAGGAGAGCTATGGGTGTGGATGGGTGAGAAACGGGACGGGTGACTCTGTTGCAGGACGGCTGAGGTTCCGGCATCCGAGACCGGCGCAACGTTGGTTCGGGATCTTAAACGCCACCACGCTGCCGAATAGCTGCGTGCAGATTCTGGACACGGTGTTTGGCGACTTCGCAGGTGCGACTATGTGGAATCCGAACACGCCGTTGAGCGAGGATTGCCTTTACGTGAACGTGGTCGCGCCACGGCCTAGGCCTACCAATGCCGCTGTTATGGTATGGATATTCGGTGGTGAGTTCCAGCTGACACCTGTTCCGTCCTTAGAACTAGAGATGCTCGTGGAAACTAGAGCACACCGTCGCCTGGGCCAACGTTCTTTTACAGGTGGTCGCTTCTTAACGAGAAACGCTTATTTTTGCCGCGCGCCGTTATTTTAGAACGGCTATTTTTTCACCGGGTCTCTAGCCAGTCGGGACGATCGGGAGAGAATGGTCGGGGAACGTTCGCGACACGGCCCACACGAAAATCCTGCCGTGGCCAACAGGTGTGATCCCGTCGTAACGTCGCCGCGACCATTCCGTTGCTCCAAACTTCCAAAAGAATGGGGGGAGGGAAGAAAACGCAAACGACGAAGAAAGGATCGTTAACCTCTCTCTCTCTCTCTCTGCCCCTTCCAAAACTGCAACGATTGCTGGCCATAGTCGTTGCGAAAACGCGTTCATTCGATAATCCGAGAGAGATAGATTAGAGAGAGAGAGAGAGAGAGAGTCGGAGAGAGAAAGAGTTGGAGAGAGGAAATAAGCGTTGGTGAAAAAGAAGCGGAATATCGGGGGAAATAAATGATCGGAAGGGAACGGAAAAGTGTGGGAAGAGTGTGGGCGTGAGAAATGGCGTGCATAGGCGCAGACGCTAGTCGTCGGTGGACTAGGTTATGCGTGCATATGCGTGCATATGCGTGCATATGCGTGTGTGCGATGTGGTATGGAAAGCAGAGGTTTGTTTCGAGAGTTGGAATCGCGCGACATCCTTGTAGGTGGCTTTTACTCCGGATCGGCGACCCTCGACGTTTACGATCACAAAACCCTGGTGTCCGAGGAGAACGTGATTCTAGTCTCGATGCAGTATCGAGTCGCCAGCCTGGGTTTCCTGTACTTCGGAACCTCGGATGTTCCTGGGAACGCCGGTCTGTTCGATCAGATGATGGCCCTTCAGTGGGTCCGCGACAATATCGCTGCCTTTGGCGGAAATCCTGACAACGTGACCCTGTTCGGAGAGAGCGCGGGCGCCGTTTCCGTTTCTATGCACCTCCTTTCGCCTCTGTCAAGGTGCATACCTTTTCTCCTTGTCACTTTACGTTCTTCTCTTTTTTTCTTTTTGCTTGCCGCTACCAATGTCTACTGCTATCGACGCTACGCGATAGTCGGTTGGAGATCACCCCCTCTCGAGCGAACGAGCGAATAACCACGAAAACGCGACAGCGAAGGAGGTGGTCTCGAACTTAGGGCCGCTTCGATCTCCGGAACGATCGGGCAACGATTTAACGGTGACACCGGTGTCTCTCTCTCTCTGGCTTTCAGGCATCTCTTCAGCCAAGCCATCATGCAGTCCGGCTCCCCTACCGCACCTTGGGCGATCATATCGCGCAAGGAGTCCATCATGCGGGGCATACGACTGGCAGAGGCGGTCGGTTGTCCACACGATCGCGACAATATCGAAGAGGTGATCGATTGTTTGCTGATGAAGAATCCGATCGAACTGGTGAAGAGCGAGTGGGGCACTCTGGGCATCTGCGAGTTCCCCTTCGTCCCCGTGATCGACGGCGCGTTCCTCGACGAGACGCCGCAACGCTCGCTGGCCACCTCGTCTTTCAAGAAGGCAAACATCATGATGGGCTCCAACACCGAGGAAGGTTTCTACTTTATTATTTACTATCTCACCGAGCTGTTTCACATCGACGGTGCCGAGGACGTAAAGGTCAGCAGGGAGCAGTTCGTTAGCGCCGTTTCCGAACTAAATCCGTACGTCAATCAGATCGGAAGGCACGCCATTATCTACGAATACACCGACTGGCTGCATCCGGACGACCCCCACGTGAATCGCGACGCCCTGGATAAAATCGTCGGCGACTATCAGTTCACTTGCAACGTGAACGAATTTGCCGGCCGGTACGCCGACACCGGCAACACCGTTTACATGTATTATTACAAGCACAGGTGAGATTCGCGTCCGATAGGATCGGAGAGCAGGAGTCTAGAGGCGAAGTGGCCGCGACGCCGCTCGATCCAACCGATCCAATCTATCGTGTCCAGTAAACGATAAATTTCGCTTTCTCCGTCCGACCTCTGTACTCTCTCACCACCCCGCTTTCCTTTCCCGACTCTGCCTAGATCCGCGAACAATCCGTGGCCGAGATGGACCGGGGTCATGCACGCCGACGAAATTAGCTATATCTTCGGCGAGCCGTTGGACCCCTCCAAAGGATACACCACCGAGGAGGTCAACCTGTCCAAGAAAATGATGAGATACTGGGCCAACTTTGCCAAGACAGGGTAAGTCTTCATCCTCCTTTCCCCATCTTTCCTTTCCTTCCCTTCTTCCACCTGTTTATTCTACCTATTCTACCTATCGCTGGCTAATCGCTCGCCATCGCCCGATCCTCCTTCAGGGACCCGAATATCGGAGACTCCGAGATATGGACGCAACCCTACTGGCCTCCGCACACTGCCGCGAAAAAGGAATACCTCACACTGGACACCAACAGCTCGGAGATCGGCAATGGACCTAGAGCGAGACAGTGCACTTTCTGGAAGCAATACCTTCCGCAACTCCTCGCCGCCACTTGTGAGTACAACAACGTCGTTTTCTTTTGTTATCCTCCTTCTTCGCCGTTTCCATATTCCCAGAGTACACTTTCGTTTATCGAATACTTTACGCTCGGTTCGCCCTCGGATTATCTTCCGTGACACCTGTTGAGTGGAAAATACCTTTCGTTAACCTCGAGGTAGTAATTCGAAATCGAGATCCCCCCCAAAGTCTTTGATTAATTCTCGCAACCGCGAGGTACACGTCGAGGCTATCTCCCCGAAGATTTCCAGGTGAACCGCGCGCGCGAACCTGCGACCAGCTGCGCCGAACTTGCTCAAACTTGGTCAAACTCGGTCCGATGGAAAAGTAACGTTCCTTCCAACTTTTCCTCCTCTCGCATCTCCTCTCCGCTCTCCCCAAAAGTTTCCGCCATTCCGACAATTGCTATTCGCGTTCTTTCTCCCCCTCCCCCCTGGGTGCTGACCGAAACTCGAGTAAACGCGGAGACTGTCGTATTTCTTAACGAGCAGCTACCACCCTCTTTCCTCGCGACCGAGCTGCGACGAAGGGTACGACTGGAAAATTGGAAATTGCTTTCTTGGCAGGTTCTCCGTGATCGAATTATTCCATCCCAATTACCTTTATTATAGGCGAGTGCAATTTAATAGAGACGATATTCGCGGTTTCCTGACGGAGGGGGCGACTGCTCTGGCCCCGTGCCATTCCGCGAAATACAGGCTCGATCCGCTTTCTTCGCAATCCCGCTTGTCCTTAACGCGGATTCGATTATCGGTCACGGATAGAACCAACCCGATCCACGGATCGCGTTTCTGGATATCCGAAAAGCAGACTCGGATAAATCACGAGAGGGAATTGGTTCGGCAATCCATGGTGCAGGAGATTTCTTCGGATCACTTCGGGGCACCTCTCTCTCGATCCGTCGCGGATGCTGCAAAAGTAGGCGTTTCGCGATTAAATCCTGCCGATTCGGGAGCTTCCGGTCTCTCGACGACGAGAACCTCTCTCCTGGGCCATCGGTCGAGAGGGTGTTTTTAGGCCGCGAAGTTAGGTCGCCGAAGAAATGGCTACCAGCCAACCGTCGATATCCGTTCAAAGAATCCGTTTCTCCTTTGTCCCCGACGACGTCGCGACGCGGGCCAGGGCACCATTGGCGGAATAAAAGTCGCGAAACCGTAGAGACGAGCCAATTTTTATTGGCACCAACGTCGCGCGTCGCATCTCGCGAGGTTTCCTCCGCGATACGTCTAAATCCTTGCCTGTCTCGTTTTCATTAGCCTAATGGCCCAAGGAAGGATCGAGCGAACATCCGGGATGCCTTTATCCCCGACGAGGCGAGTTTCGCGGATTTATTCCGCGAATTTATTCCGCGGATGGCGAGTCGGTCACGGAACGGTCGTCGAATAGTTTAATTCGGACGGGGAGACAGATGGACGGGGCGAGGAGCGGAATAAAAAGCGTGGCGGAAAATTGCTTCCGCGGTGCCATCTCGGAGCCTCTGGCCGGGTTTTTGTTTCCCTTTTCTTTCAAATAATATCCATCGTGCCCCGCAGCGTCCCTTTTGCCGGGACCATCCGTGTCCCTGTGTAGGTATCAGCTGCGGTTCGATAGCCCCGCCCCGAGGCCGTTCTCAAACTTTCCCCCAGATTCTTGCCTTTTCCTTACCTAGCGCGTACCTAGTCCAAGGTGCTGGTAGGTTAGCAAATGGTCGGCAAAGGACCGCGTGTCCGATAGGAAGAAGGAGCACAGCGACCAAGTATGCGGCGCAAGGGACAAGCGGAGGTGGACGAGCGGAGACGAAAGGCGTTGCACGGCTAAATAAAATGTCCGCATATGCGGCAGATACGATGCTCTGGTCTGGCGCATCGGCACTGTAAATAGAACGACGACGTCGCGGCATTGCTTTATAATTACGTCGGTGGGCTTGGAAAGGTTAACCGCACGCCAGTGAAGGTAGAGGGTGTACGGCACGGGGACGTGTCGTTGTCACGAGCACTAATGGCTCGTTTACACGATAAACCATTGGCGTAACCGCGGATATACACTCGGCTGGTATTTTGCCTGGTTCCGGCCCGGAGGACCCCACCGAGAGAGGAGCCGCGTGCGAACCGCGAGGGAAATTTCGCGTACGGTGTCCGGAGGAAAGCTCGCGCGCGGCAACGGTCCGCGCGGTTCGCCTAATCGACGCGCGGTCACGTTCCCGTTGACTCCTAAACGAGGATTTATCGCTTTATAAAATCGACCGAGAGCTTTTAGGCGAGCGGCGTGTGCACGGTGCATGCGGCACGAGAAGCGGGGACGCGAGCGTACGGGAGCGGACGAAGGTGTCATTTTCATCATCGCTAACGATCCGAATTCGAGCCATTGGCGTAACGCTGTCGTAACCGTGAGACCGGTCCCGGTGTCTACCGCAGCCCTGACGTCACCGAGTTAAATGCACCCTTGCATCGGACACGTTCCCCGTAATCTATGCGGCAGAACTGCCGTTGACACGGCGCCAACCTGGAATCCGCTCGAAACAGGCCGCGGCTGCGATTACATTCGCGATAATGCCGTTATCTCTCTCGTTAACGATCCCTTGTAAAAGTATATTTATGCTTGTCCGCATCGCTTTGACTTTCGTCCAAAATCCCCCCACCTATCCCTCCCCTCTGTCGCCCCTCTGTCACCCCACTTCCTCCCCGCCGTTTATCCAGCGAAACTTTGACGAGAGGACGCGCAGCGGCGATAACGATCGCGACGATAACGATAACGAGGCTTTTATCGGCGCGATGCGTAGAAAAGCGACCAATCCGACCAACCGAGCGAATAAATTCGGTTTTTCCTTCTCAACCGCATCCCCGCAACCATCTCCGGTTAATATACCGGATGTTACCGAGGAAAGTTCTCGGTGGAACTCGCGAATCGCTTCAGGGACGACGCGACCTCCTCCGTGGCCCCCGCAGCTTCCGGTGGACACGGAACGACAGCGTTCCATCCAGAGACCCAGGCGAGTAACCGCGTGGTTCGTCGCAACGTTTCGCATCCTCCGACTCTCTGGCTCTTCGAACTCGTTTCACCTCGCGGCGACCAATGCCTTGGGCATTTTCCACTTCCGGGCCATAGACGAGCCGTGGCATAGACCTCGAGCGAAATTCGCGCGACGAGCAAATCGGATATCGAGCATTTCAACGAGGCAACGAGTTGGCCGACAGATGGATCGCGATTAATTACCCGGTACACGGATGCTCGATCGCGGGAACAATGCGATACTCGTCGCGTGTGTAAACACGCCGATTGATCGCCGCGACGCGGAGGAAAACGGGAAACGGGGAACGGGGAAGGGGGACGATAAGGGTTCGTCGACGAAGTTATCGTGCAATTATTCGGCAATCCGTCGACGATTTCACAGCGACGAGGTAATTGAAGGAAAATACGCGATGCGTCGGGAAGGGAAAGTTGGAGTTGGATCGCGATTCCTCTGCCAACAGTTGGCAAGTTTGCCCGCGATCGATCGGGAAATCGAGTATACGCGGCTGGGAACACGTTATTCCCGGCTGGCGAGCCCGGGTCTTGCCTTTTCGCACGGGAAAAATTCGCGCGAGTCGAAGAGAAAGTGGAAAGGAAAATACGGGGGTTGTACGCGAGGGAAGTTTGATCGGTGCTCGCGTCTCGGAAAGAAAACAGTGATAAAGCTGGCGGGGCAACGGAGGGGCAACTGGCTCGACGGAAGGTAGGGGTTTTGATCGTGGCACCCAGGAACGAAACGGACGAGCAGGGTAAACGAGGGTGCGGGGGTGGAACTGGCCGCTCGGCAAAGTGGATCGATGCCGCCGCGGCACGTCTGTGCGCGCAAACGTGCGCACGTGTGCGTACACCTGTACACACACACACACACACACACGTGCGTGGATGCGTCCATCTGCCGATTCTACCTGCCGAAGCCCGGCGAAAAGCACCCTTCCGCGCTTTTCCAAAGCATCGCGAGGAAATCGTGCAAAGCACCGCCAATCCCCCGCTCTCGCGTGCACGCGTCCTCTCGCTTTCCACGCGATTCCGCTATCTGCCCTCGGCCCGATGCCGGCACCGGCGATCCACCGCGAGATTTATCGCGGATTTATCGCGGATTTATCGCAGATTTTTCCCGAGAGATTTCAAACGATTTTTTCTGCTCGTTTTCTGTTGCAGCGAAACTGGAGCTCGCCTCGAAGGAGACGTGCAGCGGCACGAGAGTAAACGGCGACGGGGGACATTGGTTGCTGGTGTTGGGATTGCTGCTGATCGGTGCCCTGTTCAGCCAGAGAGTGGCCGCCATTCAGACCGGTACGAACGACGTACCGCGAGACTTGGAGCCCAGGGGCTTGGTCTAGCTCGTCGGTGGTCGAGAGGGCCAAAGGTCGCGACCAACGCGATGCGAGCACGGACCAGCGAAACGATCCACGACCTTCTAAAGCGTGTTAACGAGTCATATCGAGCATCGCCGATATCGAGGCAAGAAGCGAAACAGACACATATCAATGCAGTGGAGGGCGCTCGATCGACCCGACACCCGAGGTGATCGCGTCTCCTCTTCGTCAGTGAGAAAGATTTTAATCCGACCGACAGATCTACTACGGTATCTCGCCCCCTTGGCTAGGGGTCGGGTAGAAACTGTGCGCTAGACGACGGACTCGAAGATTTCCTTCGACCGACGTGTCCGCGTCGTCGACAAGTGTCGTTTTACCTTTCCATTTCGTTTTCTCTCCTCCCACTTCCTTCCCCCCTTTCTTCCTTCCCGCCTTTCCACAGAGCGTCGCTATCGCTGGCGGAGTCGCGCGAGAAACGGAGAAATCGCGAATAAAAGATTTTCTCCTTCGATCCGAACGGATCGTCCACCTATCCGTCGGTTTTTCCCTCTGCGCGGACTGGCGATGGAAAACGCGCGAGACGAGATCAAATTTCATCCCGACGCGTTCCAGCTCATTCGTTAACGCGGACACCGCGATATATGCTTGATCCGCTCGCGCGTTATCGCGGAACGCACTCGTCCGCGCCCTATCTGCGCTCGGGGTATTTTCATCCGTCGAGTATCGAGTCAACGATCGCGTGGTCCTCGCCGTTATTCGTTTCACGGATCATGGCAGCAGCAGCAGCAGCAGCAGCAGCAACAGCAGAGTCTGGCGAGAAGCGTCAGGGGTCCGATCGGCGGAGAGATTCGTGCATGCACGGAACCGGCTCTCCTTTTAATTTCCCCGTTATTGCCGTTGCAACTGTCTGCACACACACACACAACCACACGCACGCACACACAACCACACACACACACACACACACACACACACACACACAAGTACGGTAATGCGAGCCGCAATTGGATCTATATGCTCTGCGGCCGCCTATACGTGCGCATGTTTGTAACGCGGTGCAGCCACTGCAGAGTCGATCGCATTCGTACAAATTGCGGAGACTTAAACGCCGTGGAACACGATCCGCGCCTGTAGATCCACTCGTTCCACGAGGCTTCGAAAATCGCGTCCCCGTTGTTACACGGAAATACGTTTCAGGATTAATCTTCGCGCCAAGCTACACGCGCGTCCGTCTTCCGATACGATCGAGTCCCGATAGAATTGCAAATGGCGTTACGACCGACGCCGGATGGATCGCTGGATCGACGGGACGGATCGATCGGTGCTCGTTGATCGCGAGGAAAATTCGTTTTTCCAATCGGTTCGAGGGCTGAAATCGACGACGACGAGGTTGGTACCGGAACGGGCGTCGAGACGACGGCCGTTATCGGATTTCCTCGGCGATGCAACAGCGGGATGGTCCGCGAGGACGCGAAGCGGAGGAGGCCGTAAAATTTTACGACGCGTCAGCGAATGCAGACTTCGTCGCAGTCGCGTTAAAATCCTTCCGACTGCGGCACGGGCTCGCGATCGAAACGAAACGGGCGCCAGGACGCGTCCAGGTGCGCTCCCGTCGCATCCAAGGTGCATTCCTACGTGCATCTCTCGCGCGCTCTATTTTCCTCGCGGCTCCGCCATCGATTTTACACCGGAATACGCTTCTATTCTTCCAACCCGGCTACACGCGACGAAGGTCGCACGCCTCGACGTTTCTCGACGCCATCGGTCGTCCCTGCCTCGAAATTTCTTCCTTTTCCTCTGAATTTCTCCCGCGACAGAACGGTCACGGCAACCGTGATCCCTTCTTCCAGCAGACTACGATCCTTTCCCTCCTTTTCCGCTTCGAGATCTTCCAAACGGTGAGGCGATTCGCCGAGCACGGGTGAACCTTTCTCACCGCGGAGAAAGGTGAGACCTGGCCGTGCTGTACACCCTCGAAACGTCGAGAGGAGAGAGACGCGAAATGGGCGAAACGCAGAGAAGAGGCGAAAGAGGAGATCGGACGTTCGGAGGGAAGGAGATCGTCGTTTCCTTCTTCCGTTCTCGCCACCTCTCGTGTTCCTCGCCACACAGCGGGAAGGAAACGTGCACGAACGCAGGCAAAGTTATAATTAAGGTTAACCGCTGATTACTTGTAATAACTATTACCGTAAGTAGAATGACACCGCGTGCTCGATTCGTTCGGGGATCAACCGATCTCTCTCGTTCTCCATCTTTCCACGTCGATCGTTCCACCGCTATCCACGGACCGAACGGGCAATATCCACCACCCTCTTTGCTACGAATTTCTACCAAGTGATGCTTCTAAAAATCACGAGAGAACGCTTCCAACTCGTTCCCCGCTCCTCGAATCCTCCCTCTTGCTCGCTCCCACCGACAACCCTCGCGTCCTCGTGGTTCGTGCCAGTAACGCGGAGGACGAAGCGGTCGTAGGAACGATAGATAGCAAGACCGATCGATACCCCGACTGCATCGGGACCGCGACAACTGATGAAATCAAAAGTGACGCTTTATCCGCCTATTCGCCTTTATAGAACAATCAAATTTCGCTATTTTCTTCGCCGCCGCCGCCGCCGCCGCCGCCATCGCCGTCGCGTCGCTCGATCGAGTCACGGCCAACGGCACGATCGAGCATTGGTTCCCACGCGAATTCCACACTCGGTCAGACGCCACGATGTCTCGGATTTTAGAATTTACAGCTGGTCGAAGCGCGTTTTTTCATTACTTGTATAATATTATGTACATATATATAACGTAACGGTAAGAACCGACTATAAAGCAAGACGCGAAGGAGCAATCGCGACGCGTAGGGCTTTCCCGATGCACCGACTAGCACGAGAGAAACAGGTGATACGGAAGTACACGCGCGTACGCGCACGCGTCCATCTTGCCGCGTTAAGTTCACTGCGATGATTCCGATGCATTATGTATAATAACATTATACATACTATACATAAGTATATATATAAGTACGTGCATATATAAATATATACATACATAGCATGTATAGAGGTACTTTAGAGGCGATGTCGTCGTACGTTTGTACATACGTTATCACGCGCACCTATCGCGGCTCACGAGATTACGGAAACGGAATGGAAACGGAATGGAAACGAGTCACGTCGATCTCCATCCAAGCTAACTCTCTCCGCCAACATTTTCTCTCTCTCTCTCTCTCTCTCTCTCTCTC